GTCAAGTTTGGGTTATAATAATGCAATGACCAAGAGTGAAAGTTTCATTCCTCCACCTAGAAGCACAAATGCAAAGCCTCCTCTTATACCTTCAAGTAATAATGGTAATGCATCAAATCCACCTATAATGGAGGTTGATTCAAAGGTTAGTGTTTCTTCTATTAAAAAAAAAATATTGGGTGTGGGATCGTTTTACTATATAATTGTCAGGTTAAAAATAATCAAAAAGCAGCATATAACTATTGTGGTAAGAACAACTTGTACTAGTTCAAGTGTTACAAGTTGCTTGATTAATCATTTGTCAAGATGTAAGAATTATCCTTTTAATGTGGACAAGAAACAAAAAAAAAAAGAAAACCTTGGACTCTTCATATCAAAATGCAAAAGAGTGTGGTATCACACCATCACTTGTGCCTTACAAGTTTGACCAAGAAAACTGTAGAAAGAGACTTGCTATGATAATTATTGTAGATGAATTGCCCTTTAACCATGTGAAGAAGGAAGGGTACCGTGATTTTGTGGTACCATGCAACCACGATTTATAATTCCTTCATACCATATAGTAACTAGAGATTGTTATGATCTCTATATCGAGGAGAAGAGGAAGTTGAAGAAGTATTTTAATAAACTTCCATTGGGGGTCTGCCTCACTATACATGGACATCATGTCAAAATCTTAGCTACATGTGTCTCACTGCTCACTTCATAAATGATGAATGAAAATTGCACAAAAAAATTATAATTTTTTATCAAATTTCTAGTCATTCAAGAAAAGTGATTGGCAAGGCCGTTGAGAGATACTTGCTTAATCAGTGCATTGAAAGGGTTTTCACTATAACAATAAATAATGTAAGCTCAAATGATATGGAAATTCAGTACTTGAAAAAGAGACTCAATAGTCGGAAAGGAAGAGTTTTAAAGAATGAGTTCTTAAACATAAGACGTGGTGCACATATTTTGAGTCTAATTGTTAAAAAGGGATTGACAGAGTTGGATTCTTTTATTTTTAGGATTCATTCTATAATGAAATATGTAAGGTCTTTTCTATTATGGTTGCGGGGTTTAAGGATTATGTACAAAAATAAAAGATAATGAGTAGGGTCCCGTTTGCCTAAACATTGATATTAGGTGAAACTTTACTTAATGTTAGAATCTGCTTTAAAATTTTAGAAGGCATTTGATTTGTTTGAGAGTATTAATAGTAAGTGTGTAGAGGAGCTTACTAGTTCAAAAGATAAGAATTTGTCTAGTGATGATTGGGAATATTCTCATGGTTTGCTTCATTTTCTTAAAATTTTCTAAAAAACTACAATGAAATTATCTGCATCACTTTATGTAACTCAAAATAAATACACGAAAGAAATTTATGGTATAGGGCTTGTCATTTGTAGGAAGTGTAGCAGTAATGATTTCAATATTAATTAATGACTTCTAAAATGAAAAGGAAATTTAAAAAAATATTAGGCAAATGTGAGAAATATCAATATCATGTTATTCATTATAATGGCTCTGGACTCTTGATGTAAATTAGAATAGGTGGATTGGGTTGTTAATGAATAATATAATATTGATAATGCTCAATTACTGAAAGAAAATGTACAACAAGTTTTGACTTTCATGTTTGAGTTTCATAATTCAACTAAATTATCTCATAATGTTCAATCAAATAATCAAATTAAAAACATAAGATAAAAGTTAATAATATAGAAGACAAAAGTTCATGTCAGAACCTACAATAAAAAGCATACAAAACGCTTTCAAGGAGATAGTGTGCCCATTTAACAATGTATAAGGTACTTCAGATATGTTTTACGGCATTTGCAGTAAGACATTTAACAACTCCAAAATTCTAGACTGCCCACAATTCTGGAATTCCTTGGCAACCATTAATTTGGATGTACACGTTTACATAGCCACCGGCAGGTTAGGCTCAAGTATTTGGCATTAATTGAACGCGGCTAGAAAATTTGACCAAGGTTTTTAAAATCGAATCTACAATGAACCGGTTAGGGTCCGGTCGAATAGTCTAACTGTTTGAATCGAACAGACGATTCATTCTGATAAATAAAAAATAAAAAAACAGCCAAAATTGTTAAACAGTTCGAACAATTTAACCATCTGGATCAATAGTTTGTTAACCAAGTCAATTATTTTTGATAAAATAATAATTTTGGGATAAAACAAAGTCGATCATCTGAATTGTTTCCTACCAAATTATAATCTGACCGATTATAATTGACAGTAGAGCTATTATTCTAACTTATTAAATGAATATATTTAACTACGAAAGACCAAAGTATTATAATATTATAAATACAACGTTTCTAGACTGAGACGTCTTCTAATAATGTCAATATTAAAATTTTTTATATTTAGAATTATTATATATATAGTCGCATCTAGAAGTTCGGAAGAACCAAAACTGATTCCAACCCAATAAATCAATAATAAAATACTGACCGTACTATGTTTGGTTTGATAAAAAACATAAGAGAAAAACAAAAAGCTCAAGAGCATGGATATCTGACTCGGCATTGACCTGGTTCAATTTATTTTGAACTAAAACTAAACCAGTCTAGTCCTCACAGTTTAGCAAATCGAACCAAACGCTTATGCTGACTAAGCAAAATTAATTGGAAATTTTAAAAGATTCTTTAACTAAAAAAAGAAAAATATAGAGTAGGAAATCCATTTTCGAATGAGAAAATCCCACATTCTCTCTCTCTCTCTCCTCCCAGATTGCCTCTCTTAACTCTCTAATATTTCCTTCTGGGACCCAGATTTTTATAAAAACCATCAAGAGATTTCCATCGACTTTCTGTTTTTCTTTTTATTTTTTACCAAATCAAAAACAACCTAATGAAAACCATAGACTATGTTTGGTTTGATATTAAATATAGGAAAGTCTGTATATACATTTTCTTTCAAATCAAACACAGTATTAACTCTTAAGTTTATTGTGCCTATCAATCCAAATTATGGGGTTCTGGCCCAATGGCTCAGTTTAGGAGGAGTATAAATGCAAATTTATAGAGTGCAAAACCTTATATTTTATATTATTTTATATGTATTTATACTGTACATATTTGCATTTTAATTCTTTTTTCATTTTATCATCCATACGCACTGCAGATTTGGACCGAGTCCAACACAAAATCGGTCTATTGACACCCCTACTACCCCCGTTATGCAACCCAATGAATGCATGCACTTTATCCTGCCACTCACATTGTGGTGGACTGGGCCGGGTCCTATAGCAAGCCGTGTCTATTCGACACGAATGCACACACAAGAAGGGAAGCCTAACACCAACCCTGGTCCGGGCCCAAGCCCAAGCCCTATAGCAGGCTAGCATGTTTCAACTAGCGGGATATTACTGCAAACAACCACTACCACAATCAGATTATGTCTATGGTTTGCCAATTCAAAGCTTGTTAGACTGCATACCGAGGCCCCTCCCATCAACACAAGTGATGAGCTCGAAGGTGAGAAACACAAGAAGAGGAAAAAGGAAGACGAATCAGGTGATTGTACATGCAATATGTATAAATATTTATCATGGGTTGATGTCAAATTCACAAGATATATTATTTATACATTTGGATATATCAAATTCCCAGGTGATTGTACAATTAGTTTTACACTTTTACAGAATCAAACAGAAGAAAACTTCCAACTAAACAAAGACAGGGACAACTCATTGTTTACATAGATTCAGGGAAAAATATTACAACTCCTTTGATACCATTGTCCAATTACAAGTATCTAAGACAAGCCAGCACGGTGAACCATGGATTTATGGATGAACATATTGCATTAAAAAAAACACATTAGATAATATGGTTTCACATTATCACATACCATAAAGAATTGCAGTTGGGGAGGGACTAAGGTTATTAATTACTTATTGCATAAATTACCAATAAAAAAAGCAATGGATATCGGATAAGAAGATCATTGTGGCCTAGAGTCAGGAGCTATTGTACTTTTTTCCTACACTTGTTGCACTAAACAATCAATGTGTCATAGGTGTTCCATTGCACATGTTAAAAGATATGAACAAGTTAGAATAATTGGGTTTACAATCATGAACTGAGAATTATACACCTGTTACTGTCATGTATTGATTGCTTAGTGCAGTAGACCAGTACTCTATTGCCTATGGTTTTGGGTTCCTTTATCTCAGACTTTGCCCCACATGACGCTTGTTAGTAGTAGAATGTGTACTGACCAAAATACCTTAAGATGAGATGTATAAGGCTGAGATTGGTTCTATAGAAGTCCTAAAATCAATTTTTGCATTTCTATCACATACACATGCTATATGGTCTCTTTTCATTTTAATTATATTTTAATTTTTGTAAGATATAGTTTTTTTAAAAGCAATGAACAAGAGAAATCAAAGGGCAAATGCATTATATTTTAGAAATGTTAATGCTACCAAAAAAACACTTTAATTATCAATTTCAGATACTCTATAAGAGGATATAGAATGCTTGTTTGATACGGGGAGTGGAGGAGGGGGTATTTGCTATCTCACCATGCATTGGGAACATCTCCCACTTTTGCCATTTCTTTTTTTTTTTTTTTTCAAACCGCTGTACCTTCAAAGTTTTTGAGTTGAAGGGTTCGGTCATCCTTCAACTGTGCCGTTTGACACGTTGCTTTTCCAGTCCCACACTCCACGCTATGGGTAAAAATGGTATTTTAGCATCACAGTAACATTTTCTGTCAGTAAAGGGAGGACTGGTGTTTGCATATTTCTTTGAAAATAGACGGGAGGTAAATTGTAAATTTTTAAGGACCAAACGGTCCAAAACGAATGAAAAAGTGAAAAACCATAAAGCGAAGATTTTAATGTGTTATCTAGAAAGAAATCCCGATGACAAGTCCAATTTTATCTTTGGCCCCTTCTAGAAGAAATCGCGTTTCTCTCTTGGCACTTTCTATAATTCTATCCCTTCCAGAAGCCATGACAAAGTTACACAGGCTCGCAGCAACTTCACTTCAAAAGAGAAAGAATGGGGCGACTATGAGGCCTCGAACCCCACTTCTTTCTTGAATGTAGAAATTCCAGTCAACGAATCTTCTATACTCCTTTAAATTTTCCTTCCCAGTTCAGTTCTCCACACCACCACCACCTATGGCCGAGAACAAAGACCTTCAGGACTTTGAAGCAGAAGAAGCGCTTTCTCTCTGCGATCTACCCATTACAGATGGAACAGAGTGGGAGGAGTTCTTCAATGACGATAGAAGGCCATCACCCGATCAGGAATTGTTTGAATTCTTCAGCGATTGGAGCGCCCAGATGTGTCCCGCTGAGGATGTCATCTTTTGCGGGAAGCTTATTCCTCGTAGACAGAAAGAATCCCTTTCTGATTCTGATCAATGTCGGGATGGAAAGAGCGTAAGAGATGAAATTTACGGGCGAGAATTTTCTTGTCGGCGATCTGGGTCTTTGCGCGAACAGGGAATGGAGAGCTCTTACTCGAGTTTGAAAGGAAAGCTGATGAAGAGCAGTCACCCACAGGATTACCGGAAATTGCAGAAGGTTCAAAGTTCGAAGACTTCCTCGGCCAAAGGGAATGAACAACGAAGTTCTTCGGTTCGTAGAGCATCGGTTTCGTCGCCTCCGGCGAAGCCCAGATGGCAATTGTTTTTGTTTGGGTTGAAGTTTCCGCGGGAGATGAATCTGAAAGATATAAAAAACCGGCAGAATCGGAGTCGCCGGATTCCGACAAGTATGTTCTCTGCATTTGACGGCGGGGAGACGATCTCCGTTAAGAGGGAGGACGAGAAGGGCGCATGGAGATTTATTCGGGCTTTGAGTTGCAGAGGCCACGCAAACGCAGCCGTAACGGCGTCGTTGAGTTGTATACCACACGTGTGAGATCCTTCTCTTACCCGCGTTCTCACACGTGTATCGAAGTAACGGATAATGGTATAATAGCATATAAGGGCAATTTTTGGGTCTTGATATTAATAAAAATAATATTTTTTAAAAAAACCTAATCAAGTTTTCTTCGGAGATTTCTTTCGCTGAATTGCCCCTGAACGAAATTTGGAATACCTTCCAACTTTGTTGCCTCAACAGAGAGACAAAGAGGGGCGGAACAGTCATCTACATTATTTATTTGAATGTTTGATCTTTTGATGTATAAAGTTTCCCTTTACGTGGAAGGAAAGATGGTGTCCACAGTACACAATGGAAGGTCATTATGTCCCTGATTCATTGAGGGGTGGTGAGATTCTGAATATCTGATATGTCAGATTCGAACCCACCTAAAATTCTTATTCCTCATCGTATTAACATTAATCTCACATCTGAAACCAATCCGAGGGTTAAAAAGGAATTGGCTGAGGTTAATCGGTTGAACAAAAGACACGGAATCTCGAAATCGTACTAGCGAGTAGCGACTTAGACGACTTAGAGAAGGACGAATGGCAAAAAGGATTTTTATTCAAAAAGCAACAAGGATTGAAAGGCAATATAAACTTTGACACTTATACATGTTTCAAACTGCATCTTTATGATATCTTTTAAGGGATTAAACTTTAAAAAAGTGAAAATTCCTTGCTTCATGGGGTTACACAACAGGGTAGCCCATCCCCTTTCCCTTACCCCCATCAACGGGATTTGATCCCAGGTCTTCATTAGTATCTTTTATTTTGGGCCAATTAATCTGTTAAATGTGATAATTTAGTATTTATCATTAATTAATTCATTAAATAACATTTCTTGAATGATGGATTTCATTGAGATGTAACTCCAATTTTGTTGAATAGAAGAGATAAGAATTTGAGACTGTTTATTTTTGGGAAACGTTTAGATGGTTGATAAAGAGAATTAGATGATACTTGAGAGGTATTTGTGTCTTTTCAAATACCACTTAACAGTTGATTAATGACAAATATTGGATCGACACCCTTTGAATATTTAAATATTAAATTGTCATTTTAAAGTTTGGGGACCAAAGTGACACTAGGCGTAAAGTACAAGGTACTAATCAAGAATTTTTCCTTTAAAAAATGCCATTTTCAACCTTGAACTATTAAAAAAAGGCCACCATAAGGCTATAATGAAAGACATTAAAGACGTTGTCAACTTGTTTTTGCATCCGTTAGAGAGTTATTAAAATAATTATTTTAAGAGTAAATTACAAAACCCCTCTGTACTATAGGGTCTGTGATAAAGACCTCCTATACTTTGTTTTGTGAGAAATACCCCCTTGTAATATGACCTTAATACAAAAACCCCCTTCACGACATCCCCGTTTTTTAGTTCCACATTAACTGCACCCAAATCACCCACCTGAGTAGAAAACAAGCTGTTCAGATCCAAACCCATATGGTTCCCATTAATGTCCCTAAATTCTACGTCCATTAATGTGTCGAGTTCAACCGCAACGAATCCAGACATCGCATTTCTTCCAACCAAGACAAGGATCCCACCAGCGTTGCCGACCGTCTCGTCATCCGACGAGATTAGAAAAGCAAGTCCTCCACCGATGATGAGATTAGTGACCAAGAAGGAGAAAAAAGTCGAGAAAGAAGCCGTAGGAGTCTCCGGCTGGCGGAACCTGACAAGCTTACTATACAAGATCCTCCCAGCGCCAGAATTAGGGACGGACAAATCACGAGTGAGATGCAAGCCGCCATTACTCAAATGAGCATCTCCGAGAAGCTTCAGACTGTTCAGAGTTAAAGTTCCAAGATCAAATTTTGTTGATTGAGAATCAACTACGTTGCCGGAAAAATAAAGAGAGAGAAGCAAGTAAAGGCAGATGTCGAAGGGAATCTCGTCAGAAAACAACATTGTTAATCTATCCGACGATCCATTACTGCAAAAGAAAGATATTCTTGTCTTCAATCTATATAGAAGAATCGATCACGGGCGACTAGTTGACACTTCGACAGTAATGTCTTCTAAGAATTTATTACTGCTCGTCTTTCTTTGCTTAGAACACAAGAAGACAACTAGGGAATTTGAAGGCGAGGATCCAAAGGAATTCGACTAGACGGGGACGGGCATCGTATTGTAGCTGGGTGACACATACTCATCTCTAACGATTAGATATTGGGTGAAAAGGAATCCTCTCTCTGACTTGACTTCTGGTTTGGGAGAGGCGGACGCAAATTGCAAGCTGCTGACAGCAAATGGATGTAAATTAGTATAATGCTACCCACACGGACCTACGGTAAGTGATGACAGTGCTTCGGCTATGGGCTGGGCCCCACATAATGTTGCTTCAGCTACGGGCTACGATGAGTGATGATAGTGTCCGTATTGATTGCTCCCCCTGCGACAGTGAAAAAGGCCTTCTCTCCGGCAACGGCGAAAATAGATTTTCTTCCTCAGGCAACGAGATCTTCTTTTCTGGCAACAATGACATTCGCTTTCTTCTACATTCAATGTGGCACTAGTGCGATCTCCGACAGAGAATGGACACTGGGATGGATTACACAAGGGGTTTCGGATGGGTTTTGAGGCAAGGTTTTAAACGAGGGTTTTCGGTGGGTGTCTATTTTTGTCATTATTTTCGTCAAATGACATGTTCTGTGAAAGGGGTCTTTGTCTCACGGTCATAGTATAAGGGAGGTCTTTGTTGTAAAACAAAGTATAGGGGGGTCTTTATAATTTACCCTTGTTTTAAATGACATGGCTTGTCGTCAAACACATGGTCCACTAAAAACTCTTACTCGTTAATCGAAATGTGCATATCAACAAAAATAGGGGTGCATATCAACAAAAATAGGGGTGCAAATGGATTGGATCAATGATCCGATCAAATCCAAAATCTTATCTTATTTTATCAGATTTGGATATATTGTTATCGAGTTTTCAGATCAAATCGGGCAATAGTATTGGGTTGAAAATCGGATTGTCTATATGTGTTATTTATTTATTTATAAATATGTTTATATTGCATTTTTGCAATTTTTATATTATTTATTTTTTTGTAAGTACACATGTATATCTATGATCTAAATAGTTGAAGAAAATACTTATATTTTTTTTTTGGTTTTTCTTTATATAAGATGATATATTTGTAATTTTTTTAGAAATTAAATAGGACCATATCATATTCGAATATCCAACATTATTAATGGATTCAAAATTGAATCACTGTTTGTGAGATCCAATCGGATATAGTATTTATATTGTCAGATCGGATTTGGATATACCCTTATTCAAATCTGATCCGATCCATTTGCATCCCTACGCAAAACCCAAAGCAACCCTAAACAAAATTAATTCAAATAGAAGAGCAGAGAATGAAGAGAAGGAAACAAAGAACAAGAGAAGAGAACGAAGAGATTCCCTCTAATTGTGAGAATAGAAATTGTAATTTGAATTTTGTTTCTTGTTTCATTCAATTCCTTTTCATTAAGTCTTATATTTTAGGTATCAACTCTCATTAAATCATATATATCATCAATTTTTTTTCAAACTAGTAAATTTTGTCAATTAAATCTATATCCAATACTTTTAACAATATAAAATCTATATTTTTTAACCAACTAAAAATGAAACTATTCTTCTGCCCTAGTGGTAGGTAATCAATTCAAATATCCAAGTCAAATGGGTTAACTTGTGATGCCATAGTTAAATAATAAAACTTTTAAAATATAATAAATACAAAAAGTTACATAATTTAAAATATATATATAGAAGAAATCAAGACTTATCTAACATTTTATATTAATCACAATAAATAATAATTGTTTTTATTGATGTTGGAAATGAAACTACCTAAATATTTGGTGATGGATCAAAAGTTCAACCCTTTGGGTCAAAATACCTAGCTTTCATCGGGCTTGTCTTCGTTAGACAAAGGGATCTCCACCTTAGGCGATAACACTGTTTTAAAAACTGGACCAAACCGAATGGTCAAACCATTTCACCTAGGAATCGGTTAGGTCACTAGCTCCATTTTGACCCTGAACGTAATTTTGCAAAAAAAAAGAAAACGTTGAAATGGTCAAAGAACCGTAAACCCAAACAATTTAATTGTTAAACCATTTGACCCGGTTAACAGTTTCGAGGTTGCTTTCAAACTAATTCCAATTTTTTATTTATTTTAAAATAAAAATTAATTAAAAAAAAAAAGAAACTTTCATATCTCATGATCTTGCCCGAATGTTCCCAATGGCCAAAGTTAGTCAGGGTTTTTAGTTTTTTAATTTTGATTTTGAGTTTCCTGTGATTCTTTTTAAGTTGAGGAATTTAGAGAGCAAGAGAGCTTGTGTGCACTAAATTATGCGTACGCCTCAGGGCCCTTAAGTTATCTTTGGGACACGTTTCTCTAGTGTTGGCAATAATCTTCATCCAATCTCTTCGAAGTGTGCAGGGACCAAGGTAATCCCTACCGGGTGGGCAACGTGCCATTGTCAGTTTCGAAATTGATAGGTGTTCTCCCAATATGGTGTGCTTTGCTTTGTTGAGGAGTGACCTATTGGTTTTCCTTAGGTTAAGATGTAGATCGGGTTGGTCGGTTTAGGTCGACTTGGCTGAGTCCGACTTGTCCCCACATGGCACCAAGGTGTTATTAGACAATTTGGATTTGCCATGTGTCTTTTCATGATTGGTCGGTCAAATTGCCCCCCACTCCTAATTCCGAGGTGCCAAGCTCAGTGAAGGGAGTGGCCCAGTATGGGGTGATTACGACTTGACTCCTGACGTTGGTTATTCACTAGGTTATAGTTTAAGATTGAACTGATTCTCCCAATTTGGGCCATCTTGGGCATGCGTTGATGCCATGCAAAAAATAGGTTCCATAGACATCAAAAACATGCTAAACTCATTTTTCCTTGGAAGACGAACTGTCACATCTTATAGCCATTAGATCATATCAATCTTAGTCGTTCGTAGGTCGGGTTCCCCGTATATATATAGGGGCCCTTGGGGGTCCCATTTGCACTTGTCTACTAAAGTTTGAGTGAAGTCGAAGTGTCGTGAGGTTAAAGAGCTCGGTGTGATCACAGTCCTTGGTGAGGTCGGTTTAATAGCCTCTTCTTAGTGAGTCCTCGTTCCTTTCCTTTTCTTTTCCTTCCCTTTTCAAGTTCTATCTGGTAGTGAGTTCGGGGGAGAGGATAATTACGCCATTCATGCCGAGGAGGGGTCATTGGCTCAGAAATGGCAAGGTTCCCATAAATGACCCTCAACCTCCTGACGTCAACCCAATACCATGTCAGAGTTCGGTCTGACAAAGTTACAGTCGAGGACATCCTCGAACTCATAGCCTAGTATAGGATCCCAAACTAATTCAGCTATTCCCTTCCTCTTGGCCAACACCCTTGGGAGCACAAGAAGGAGGAAGTTTGTATCTTCAAGCAAGCACTGGAGGTTGGGCTCAAGTTTCCTCCCCATCCCTTTATAGTCAAGGTGTT